AGAGCACTGAGCTTAACATGATCCTCCTCATATCTCCTGTTACTGTTAATAGCCCAGGTTATTACAGGGAGAATTCCTGCCACTATTAAGTCTAAACATTGAAACTGCCCCTAATTCTTCCCCAACCAGAAGACCCCTGCAAACAGCCAAAATCAGCTGCGTGTTTATGCTCGGGATATGGCTGGCATTGATAACTCAGGAGCTCTGTCTGCCCAAACATAGAGCAGACCTGGGTCAGTGGTAAGGGAGGTAGCACAATAGGCAACCTGTGAGAAATATTGCTCAAGAATTCAGCAAAGTGTATTGAGTTTTCAATTGGACAGGCTGCTGTTTACTGTGTCACTTCTCTTGGATGTTTGATGGTGCTGTATCAGGAGCTCCCCAGTCAGGGAGGGGCCTTGTGAAGACAGTTATGCAAGTGTCAATGTACACATTCTTGCGTGCAGGTTCTCGGGGCCAGGGTTTTCTGTGAAGCGCCTGGCGCCTCGATAATCTGGAGTTTGGCAGGAGAAAGGCCACATCTTATTTGTAAATAGGATGAAGCAGCAAAGTGGTCCAGGCACATTCAGCTCCGTCTGATGGCAGTCTGCTCCCTCTGCTGGCTGCTAGGTTCCTCTGCAAAAGAGTCAGTCCTCAGGGTAGTAAGGGCCTCAGCATTAAAGCTGCCACAGAGGGGTAGTGACAGGAAGGGTGGCAGTCAGTCTGTATAAACTGGGCTTGGGGTTAGTCTCTCTAGGAATATGAAGAGCTCTGGCTGAGACCCTGCTTATGAGAAGCTCACACCTGGAATACACACTGCACTAAATTAACAAAACATTATGGTATTTTAGTTCTGAGGAAGGGTCACCAGACCTGAAACGTTAACTCCGTTTTTTCATTCACAACTGCTGCCAGTCCTGCTGAGCTTTTCCAGCAACTTTGTTTTTGTTTCTGATTTACAGCATCCACAGTTCTTTTGGGTTTTATATGGTATTTCAGCAGATCATCTGGCACAAAACCTGAGAAATCTGACCAAGGCCTAATACGGGATCCTCACTAAGAACTACACATTTCACCATTGTCCTTTATACTTAACTCCATGTTACACTTGACCTGGAACTGTTTGATGGGGACAGTGTAGAGAGAGCCTTACTCTCTACCTAACCCTGTGGTGAGAGTCTTTAATGAGGGAACAATGTAGAGAGAGCTTTACTCTGTATCTAACCTTGTGCTGTCCCTGTACTGGGAGTGTTTGATGGGGGACAGTGTAGAGGACCTTTACTCTATATCTAACCACACGTTTGATGGGGGATTATGGGTGGTACTCTCCTATTCAATGTGAAGTTGGATATTTTCATTAATGATTTCAGGCAGAGCTGGGTATTAATGTTGGCTGAACTCTAGTGATCTGAAAGAATTCCCATGTACCTATGTCAGTACAGCTAGATGTTATTATGATAACCGTGGACACCTGGCCAGTATTTGACTGTGCTGACATCACTGTTTATCCCATCATTTCAAGTTTGGAGTGTGGGAGCTTGCTGTGCATATCTCTGCTTCTGCCTCTTCTACACTCCAACAGTGACTACACTCTAAAGGCACCTAATTGGTTGCAAAGACTTTTGAGATGTCTGGAGGTGGGGAAAGGCATTCTATAAATACATGATCTTTCTGTGGACCCACTGCATCAACTTGGTTAACGTGATGCATTCAGTACAGGGCCTAGATGATTTTTTTGTTTGCAGCCTCTTGGTCAGGATTGCTGTGGTACCCTTGCCTCTGCTGAACTCTCCCCAGCTCACTCTCTTTCATGACAAGACCTGCAGTTTTGATAGAGGCCTTTCCCTGGCACCAGGAATGCTGGGAGTGCCTGGCCACCATAATGCCCAGCTAGATTGACTAACTGTCTGAGGAAGTGAGGGCAGGGTGACCAAGGCAGAGAGGAGTGGGGAGGGGGAGAGGGAATGTGAGGAGAGCTGCCTGAGGAGCCAATGACTGTGATATGTGGTGTGGGTGGTGTGGGGATGGGGGCAGGGTGACCAAAGATGGAGAGGATGGGGAGGGGGAGAGCAGGGAGAGTGAAGAGAGTGAGTTGAGATGCCTGTTACTAGGTTGGGGGGGGGGGGCACTTGCAGCAAGAACCTCGCAACTGCCAAGGGTGCAATGACAGCCCTCCCTCGAGGGGCACCCAGAGGTGCTGCTGGGTCCAATGACATTCCTAGGCGCTCAGTTACGGTTTGGGCTATGATAAGCTGAGTGAGTGTTCCAGTTTGGGTTGGGGTCTGTACTCACTGGGGGACGGGGTGGGGGGCTTTTTTCCCTGGCTCACACACTTACTGTCCACAGCAGGGCCCTGGATCATATCAAACTTGTACAGTTCCTTTGCATAGTACTCGAAGTCGGTGTTGTGGGTGACACAGCCTTGCTGCCTGTCCCTGGCCAGCTCCTGCAGTAACTCCCGGGTGCTGTTATACATGGCCAGCACTTGGGGTGGTACCTCTGCTGGACTCGGATCCTCCGGGGGACTGGTCAGTCTCAGTTTACTGAGGATCTGGCCCCTGATCGCCTCCACCCGCTTCCTCTTGATGTGCTCAGTGTCCAGCGTGGTGCAAGTAGACAGTGCCCCGGTCATCACCACCAGGTCCAGGGCGCTCAGAAGCAGCACAAATCGCCGTACACACATACTGCCGCTTCAGGCCTGCAGCCCCGGGGCTCTCTCTGCTGCTCCGGGAACACACAGCCACAGGTCCGGGAACACTCTGTCTCTGCTCCGGGAACACACTGCCACAGGTCCGGGGACACTCTGTCTCTGTTCCGGGAACACACAGCCACAGCTCCGGGAACACTCTGTCTCTGCTCCGGGAACACACTGCCACAGCTCCGGGGACACACTGTCTCTGCTCCGGGAACACACTGCCACAGGTCCGGGAACACACTGCCACAGCTCCGGGAACACACTGTCTCTGCTCCGGGAACACACTGCTACAGGTCCGGGGACACTCTGCTACAGCTCCGGGAACACACTGCTACAGCTCCGGGAACACTCTGCTACAGCTCCGGGGACACTCTGTATTTGCTCCGGGAACACACTCTCTCCAGCTCCGGGGACGCTCAGTCTCTGCTCCGGGAACACACTCTCTCCAGCTCCGGGGACGCTCAGTCTCTGCTCCGGGAACACACTCTCTCCAGCTCCGGGGGTACTCTGTATCTGCTCCGGGAACACACTGCTACGGCTCAGGGAACAAACTTCTCCAGCTGCGGGGATCCTCTGCTCCGGGCACACTGTGCCTCTGCTCCTCACTCGCTTCTCCACAAACTCGTTCCAAACCCGGCTCCTAAACTTCCCAGCTGTTCCGCTCTTTCCCAGTGTGGATCCGTTCCTTTCCGCCTCCCTCTCTCTCTCTTTGTTTTGGGGAGGGGGGATTCTGGAAACCTCCTGGGTGTTTATACACCCCTTTCCCTGTGAGATCACCCGGCAGCTTCCCCCTCCCTCTCGGTCTCTGTCTCACACATACACACACATACATACATACACTGTCTGCCTCTCAGTCCGACTCCTCTCACTCTCTCCTCTCCCCTTCTGGGTTTTATAGCCAGGCTCAAGTGACGTTCTGGGCGGGTTGGCTCATTCAGCTCAATCCCGGTTTAAAGCGCCATCTTTAAACAGGATGATCAGGAAAAGAGAGAGACAGGATGCAGAGAGAGAAAAAAGAAACAGCATGGAGAGACCAGTAAGAGAGAGAGAGACTGGACCAAAAAAAGAGACAGGTTACAGAAAGAATGAAACAGCGGGGCATCAAACCCCAAAGAACTGCAGATGCTGGAAATCAGAAACAAAGTTGCTGGAAAAGCTCAGGGGGTTAGGTAGCAATGGGAGGGGGGGCGGGGGCGGGTAATATTCTGCCTGTGAGCTGGAGTGAGTTCTCACACAACTCTCTGCCACTCACCTCATGAAGTTGGCATCTTGCCCCCACAGTGCTGCTCTCATGCTATCCTGCACCATCTGAGGAAGGTGGTTCTGGCTATAGAGAGCAGTGAAGGTTTCACCGGACCCAAAACGTTTACTCTTGATTTTTTCTTCACAGATGCTGCCAGACCTGCTGAGATTTTCCATCAACTTCTGTTTTTGTTCCTGATTTACAGTATCCACAGTTCTTTCGGTTTTTATGCAGTGAGGGTTTACCAAGGCTGATGTGTACAGAGTACACCATGATAAGATTGCTACCATGTTGTGTCTGAGCTGTACTGTAGGCTCCTTCCCCAACCCTGACAGATCCAAGCATACAAATCTCACCTGAGGAAACATAGAAAATAGGTGCAGGATGAGGCCATTCGGCCCTTCGAGCCTGCACCACCATTCAATACGATCATGGCTGACCATACAATCTCAATATCCCATTCCCACCCTCTCCCCAAATCCCTTGATCCACTTAGCCACAAGGGCCACGTCCAGTTCCCTCTTGAATGTATCTAATGAACTGGCCCCAACAGCTTCCTGTGGGAGAGAATCCCACAGGTTCACAACTCTCTGAGTGAAGAAATTCTTCCTCATCTCAGTTCTGAGGCATGTTGTTTGCTGAACCACCACAGTATCCCTGGGTGAAAGACGGGCAGCACTGTCCCAACACTCCACTTCTGTCAGGCATTTATCTAATGGTTGTATGAGCTAGTTCTTGTCTCTCAGTAACCTTTCTTGTGAGACCTCTGGACCTTTAAACCAAGCAGAAACATGAGATTTCTCAAAGATATGGGCATCATCGCACCTCCCAGGGTTCCTGGAGCAGATATCTAAGATATGGTGCCGCTGATCACACATCAGTTGCAAATGGATGGAATGGAATCCCTTTTGGTTGATGAAGTCAATTATGGTGCTCTCAGTACAGTATGTGCACTGTCGGTCACACCTGGCACCCAGGGGAAAAGCCTTGGCTAGGTCTAGTGCCTGGGCCTCATCACTGGGAGATGAGATGAGGTGGTCTGACCTGGCTCAAACTGCATCAGTAACAGCATTGACACGTTTGTGGGTGGAGGTTTGAGAGATCCATACAGGTGCTCCTTGGAAGCAGCGCATTGTATCAAACCTTGGTGCTGCCATCCACTGGGATAGGATGACCAGCCACACCTTCAGATCATTGGCATCAACTGAGAACCGCAGGCAGACTCTGTGCATAGGGCAGACTGTTAGGTGAAGGAGGCACCACGATCTTAATGGTTGTGTCAGGCTGGCAAGGCTCACTGGCAATGGTCGGCCTTTCTGTAGCAGTCAAAGGACTCTACGATCTAATCCATTACCTTTGAAATGTGGAGCTTGTTCAAGGAACAGCTACTGTGTGTCCTTGAGAAGTATGTACCTGTCAGGCAGGGAGGAAGTGGTCGA